CTGGGATGATGACAGTCTCCCAGGGTACATTAAAGCTTCCAGTGCCATTCCATCACACAAATATACTGTCACACAAGTCACGAATTCATCTGAGGGCAATTGTTGGATTTGCTCGGAGAAAGGTTGGGAGTGTGCTGAGGCAGCAGAGACAGCAGCCGTCCCTGATCTCCCTTTGACCCCGCCAGGGTGCAAATACATAGGTGTCACAGCAAGAGCTTCGGTTGCTTGTATAGGGTTTCACCTGTCTGCTTTGTGGGATCTAACCACGATAAGCTGCGTGTGTCGCCAGAGAGATTTAGAGTGAGAATAAGTGTGGACAAAGACCTCTGGAGAAATCATCTGCCCTCGGCGCCTAATTTAGCAAATTCTCCAGGAATGCGTTTTTCCTTTGAGAGCATTAACTACAGGACCAGGTTTTGGTTATTGAACTCTGCAGTGGAACCTGCATTTTAATGACTTTATTAACTTTGGCTCAATTTTAAGTCTCTCTGGACGGCAACATTAGTCAGTCGCTCGACCCACTTTGGTCAAGACAGAGTCCCTAAAGGCAAGTGTCGCCACTCAGGCAGCCATCTTGGCAGTGCCCCTGGGCAGTTACATCAGGATAATAAGACAAAGCCCCTATCGACTTAAATGGGGAAGAAAGTCACAACAACACTTTCAATGGGCATCACGGAAATTTAAATATGAAGATAGTTGTGTAGCTTAAGGCTCATTCACGCTCAACACATGATATGTACAATGACAGAAATGTTTGTTGTTGTCAGAATCTCTCCACTCTGCAGCGCCCTCTAGTGGATGTTTTGCTTAACAACCATGCAAAACCAAAGGACGCATGAAAGTGCCTGGACAGTCACAATCTTTGAAAGCATTAAAGAGCATTTAGTGTTTAGAGCTGAAACAATGAGTGAGTAGTCGATCACCAACAATCTTCAGCATTACATTACATCTGAAGACAATCAATAAAGCGTTTTTCACAATGTACTCTAAGTTGTGTTGAGATTCATATGAAGATGTACACAGGTTCAAACATGCAGAGCTGTGTCTCTCCATTAAGACTAGTTGCAGAAGACATTGTTAGATCCAGTCTCAGAAAATGTGGGAGTGTGCTGAAACCACAGAGACTGCAGTTGTCCCCGATCTCCCTTGACCCTGGCGAGGGTACAACTCCACGGGTGTCACAGCAAGAGCTTCATTGGGTCGTGTATGGTTTCACCTGTCTGCCTTTCAGACCTTGATCTAAACAGGTAGAGGAGAATACACCTATAGAGAACTATCCTTTTCTTCTTTCATCCCCTCCCTCTTCTCCTTTCTCTCCCTCTCTTTTCTTCCTGCCCGGCTAATCTCTTCTCAGGTTTAGGATTCCCGGTCAGGGCTCTTTGAGGAGGAGGAAATATGGGGTTGGGTAAACATCAGGGCTCTCACTGCAGGGATTACAACACCCATATATCACTGTGACAACTCCCTTTTCAGCGGATGACAAGTAGCCAGGACCCTGTACGAGGAGGGATCCAATGACACTTCCTATCGCCACAGCCGACACCGATAGCGCATACCGTCACCGTTTTAACATCGTGTCAGTTTATAAGGATCCGGTGTCTGAATATTCTCCGTCAACATCTTTGGATCGGTTTGAGGTTTTCACACATTATTGCACCTGATGTTTTGCTTGTGGGCATCTTCAGAGAGGTGGCAACACAAACGGAAAAGGACTCTAAAGAAGTGCTTTGATCACATGTCCCCTCGGAGAGACTGCACTTCATTGTCCGTGACTCCATTTCACTCTCTCCTCTTGATGCAGCAAAGTAGCTCGCATGGTGACACGCTGCTGGATGCATTGTGCCTCCTCTGAATGATGTGAAACCGTAGTCAGACCTCATTTGAGAAAAACTCACTTTTTATCCAGAAAGACATCGCTGAAGGTCAGTGGGGTGGATCATTTTCCCCAACTTCTCTGGGACAAACGCAATTCCATGTGCTCATGCATTGTAACTGTCAAAGGTTAAAATTCAATTAGCGAAATGGCTGTTCCTTTCCAGACCAGTGGGTGCGTCCAATAATTCCTCAGAGTGATACATAATAAGAGGCAAGAGGCACTTAAATGCTCTCCCCAGTTGTTCTTCCCACTGGTGAGCAGTTGACAACAACCAGTCATGTCAGAAGATGAAATCATTTAAGGAGGGACAAAAAGAGCTTTTTGTTAACAGTGGATTAAATTTAACAATGTTTTGTATTAAAACATCTGGAAGATACACATAGTATTGATGTAATTCCTTATTCTACCATCAATTGGGGATTTGTGGGTTTTTTTTGAGAAAATCTGAAACGTATTTCACTTTCAAACCTTGAACTTTCATCTGTTTAGTAAACATGCAAACTGCACACTGAATGAAACGAACTATTTCATTTGAAAATTGGAGATTCTGTAAAATCTCAACTAGATTCGAAACATTTCTCGTGACACGCAGCTGTGAATATAGCATGAAATAGAAGTTCTTGTATATTGGCACCTTGTCCTGGTCAATGTGAACTTTCCAGTTAAATCAAGAAAAGTAAGCTTCCCATGTCTGCACAAATATTATCCTTCATAAGACACAAATCCAGACTGATGCCGCGATAAAAACCCAACACATTTTTCATAATATTTTCCTCAGTGTGCCTGTACTTTTCTTTTTGCAACATCTATTTTTCTTTGTGATTTTGATCAGAGGAACAGCTTTTACATTTAAAACTGATCTTGCACAGAACACTCACAATTTGTCATTGAATTCAAAGAGTTTTCCTATAAACTATGTTCCCATCTATCGTGCCTTTGCAGTATAGATTCTGTAGATGCATCGTTCCTCAAGGGCAACTCAGTGGTGCTGATTATAGGGAGTTCACCCATTAACATGTTATAACAGCGAACGCAGTCGCAGTTCCGATGTTCACAGACTATGGCTCTGACTTGGCTATTGTGCTTTGTTTCATCAGCGACTGCTGTTGCCAATCATGCAATTATCCCACACAAACTATTTTCACAAAAATGCACCAAAGAAAAACAAATCTACTGTTAATCTTGCCTGTAGCAGCGTTTAAGATTGTATCTATTAGGCTGTGGTGAGTGGAGGCCCTTTGGTTGATGTTTGACAACATAATAAATTCTCTCCGAGAGCCAGAAACAACATAAAATGATTTTTAAGATCTCGTCAAGATGACGATGATGAGGACTAATGTTATTTTATTCTGTGGTGCAGGAGGTGGTACAAACACAAAGACACAAAGCAACAAAGACAAATAAAGAGAAACAGATCGTTTATAATTCACAATGTCAAACATAGCAACAGCTAGAGTGAATGTTGATACTGTCAAAGTATAGACAGCAACATAGGTATAATTATTTTTTATCTGCATTGGCTACGAACCCATTATCAGACTTTCAAACAGGAAAACCTTTAACATTTTATCGAGGCAATTATGTCACATCGAGTGTGATGTAAACAAACTGAAAATAACCTCATCCTCTGGCTACCAGAGCTGAGCAAAAACCATCTCAGGTGATATCTGTTTTTAAATAATTAGTGTTTTCATTCAGAAAATACAAAGAGACCTTTCAAACAGTCCCATCCACTAACACGGAGGAGGCAGGGTTTATAAACCTATACTGCAGCCAGTCACCAGGCAGCTACCAAGACAGGTTTGAGTTCCTCTCTGCTGCCACGTCTGCTTTATTAGAAGCAAAGATATGAAACAAACTTTGTGACAAATATTCAAACATACTGTGCGGCTGACAGAGGAAGTGCTGGCGGACATCTCGACAAGTATGAATGAGGCCATCTGGGAAGAATCATCCTCATTATAACAAAAGGCCAACAGTCATTTATACACGGCTGTTCCACTATCCACTAAGGACATTTTATCACGGTGAAACACGTATCATCTCCGTCCACTCTCTCAGAGGAGCCGAAGCTAATTAACAGCATCACTCTCTGTAATTCAGAGAAGAACTATGATGCTCAACATGCGATAGTGAAATTAAACTCAGATGTGGGTCGGCTGTGATTGGACGCGAAGCCTCTAGATTAAATTAAACCCCACTGTGACGTTGGAGTTCGATGCCGGCTCACTGGCCACAGCCAGGACCTGGCCTCCTTCAGCTCATCATTTACTCGTAGAGGACTGAATAAAACCCGCTCAAACATCCGCTCGACCAAGGATCAGAGGTTTTTACCACTGATTTGTGAAGTGATCCATCTGCCAAGAAGCCTCACGTGTCACACTGCTGCAGAACATCTCAAACACAAATCATACCAGATGTCAAATGTTAGGCCAGCGACGCCATGAATATTCAACATTTGTCTTTGACTCTGCCCTGCACATCTGGACGAAAAGTTGTGATTTGACATAACGGCTCTGGTAGCATGAATCCTGACATCTCTCACTGTGCAAGATGAATAATTCAACTTTATATAATCCTGTAATTACCGAGCTGTCAGTTGTGGATTTCAGGGCGACCGCATCCACCCTGAAGACTCCAGTGAGCACTTGGCAGGGCCCGGTGGAGGATTCCCATGACAACACGGCTTAACTGTGGAGGTCCGGCCTACGCGTGTGGTGGTCGAGCTGCACGGCGCTTTAAGACCTAAAGCACCTCTGTATCCTTTTCATCCTTCTGGCATTCTGTTCAACAATACCACATGACGCTCACACTCACACATGGCGGAAGGTGAAAAGTTGATATCCTCTCCTCTAAATCACACTTGCAGCAGCCACACGTTTATTCCCTCGACAAATAGACGCACATCCACATGTGCACGGACACGAACACATGCAGACGGGCGATAAAAGCCAGAGAAATCACCTGGAGCGTAAAAAGAACAAGACAAGACACTGGAACAAGAAAATATAAGATACTTACTGTTCTGTTTAGTTTGGCTTCTCTCAAATATGCAGAGCACAGACACTCTCTTCACTGCAGGAAGAAATAAAAGAAGATAAAGGAGAAGATGGTGGAAACTCACCTTTGACTGCTGGAGCTGGATGCCGTAGAAGAGAATATTCCTGAGCTTGGCTGCTGAGGCCACGTCCATGATCGACGCTGGCTCTGGCATCACCAGCTCATCCGGACCACTCAAATGCACCTAACAAAACAAAGGCCAACACGCCCGATCAGACACAACCTGGCAATACTGAGAATTTCTTAACAGATCTGCAATTATGCCACTTTTATGAAGCAATTACAGCTCACTGGTTTCAAAACCCGGTTTTAACATGTTGCAGCTCAATAGGCCTGTTTATTTAAGGTTGTGTTCAGGGAAGATTAGAGGAGCGTAAGCTGTGTGGTTGATGCACAGTCCTGTCTGAGGATATAATGACTCTAGTTCAGCTGTAAATCTTCACGGCCTCTGCGGTTTATTTTCACCAATTAGAGCGGTGTAATCCAGACACATTGGCTCACGTTTGCTGTGTCATCCCTGCGATCTTATTTCCATAACCGTCCCACTGACAGCAACTTAAATCTAGATTTATTCACTGCAATTATTTTGTCATATTTCCTCAAATTCTGTGACAGTGAGAGTCGCAAGAATGGTTTCACATGTGTCGAGACATCTGTTCTAAACATGTAATTATTATACTTATGCTTGAAAATCAATCAGATGTTTGCTGTCGTCAGGTGACGTTCCATCTGAAGACTGAATATTCAGCAAGTTTAACTCTCATGTCGCTGGTTCCTCACACGACTGAAACACTGACGCCGACGTTTGTACCGACAACATGAATCGCTCTGTTCCGATGTACAAATTGAATCATAAACTTTTAAAAGTCAAACAGGTGATTAAGACGGAAGCTGTTTTACATATGCACCTTCAGAGACAATAATATTCATTGAGTTACACATGAAAACATTTAGAAACTCCTCAATAAAGGGAGATTAAGAACTGCAATGATGATGCATCTGGTCGTCTGCAAGAAAGCATTAGAATTGTTGCTATGGTTACCTGCTGTGTAATACAGCCGATGCAGTGACTAGTTAAACGTGTGTACATACATGACACATGATTTTAACCTGTCAGTCAGAAACAAGCATTTTTTTTAAAAAAGAGTTCATATAGAACAAAATCTTCTGGAGCAGACGTCCATCATGGATTTATGAAACCTAACAACACAAGACATGAGGTGGTAATATCAACAACATGGGGTTCGGGCTTTAATGCCTTGCTCAAGGCCATGGCACCTCATTTTCACAGACTGTTTGAAACAGTGACCTTCATCAATCAGTCTGCCTCTCTGCCCTGGAGGCTACCACCTACCCTTCAAACTCAATCACCCCCCCCCCGCTGATCACAACCATGTGATCGAACCTGCAAAACATTACAAGATTCGTATGTGATCTAACGGCAGCCTTGCACAGAAAAAGAAATAGCGAAGGAGAAGAAAAACACTTGGGTCCTGAACTAAGCCACATCGCTTATGAGCGTGAAACTCAGCGGCTGCTTCAGGTTTCTCGAAGTCACAGATTCCCAGACTAAGTTTCTTCACGTTTCCAATGTGACCATGAAATCCGGTTAGACGCAGACAGAAGAGTGAACTGTGTGTGATCCTTTGATAGAGCAGATTTTTCTCTTCTTTCCTCCATCAAACTGTCATGTAGTGCAACAACGTGGAAGAAAACAACTCATTTCTATGTTTGTTATTAATCATTTCTTTGCCTTTTGTCTGCTAATTAGTGATTTTGTGAATAAAATGTCGACTAGAATAAAATCAAGCTGAAAAGAACAGAACTGGTGGAAGGTTTTCCTCTGGTGAACCAGAGCAACGTGTTTTCGGTGCAGTGATGCTGAGTGAGATGTTTTTTGTCGAGGAAAATCTGCAGCTTTATTTTCATCTCATAACGTGACATTGTTTTGGCTGCTGCTCTGTGTGTGTTAGTCGAAGAGGTCAATTCCTCAAATTTAAAAAAAAAAACATAAACAGGCCTTTCACAAATATTTAAATGTTTCCCGGAGCAGATTCAGTTTGTTTTGAGTTTTTGAGCGAGGTCGAGCTGCGGCGCCCTCCGGAGAGGTGTACGGTTTCTAAACAGCCACAGAGCTTCTGGAGGGACCTGAGGTAGACAACAGGTGACGTTTTTACAAGCGGGAAAAAAGGAAAAGGGTCCGCTCACCTTGTACATGGCTACATGTGCCTCACTGAAACTGAATGTGTCCAGGGCCAGAAGTCTGAGTATTCACAGGCAACAGGCAAAGAAAGGTTTAGTCAAACTGTGGAGTCTTGTTTAACTCGACCTCAGTCAACGTTCACCACACACACACTGACTGACGTCTGAAGAGATTTTTACGGAGACACAAGGTCTGATAAAAACCTGATGCCCTCAATAATTCAAAGAAAAAGACTATCGTTTACTTTTTCACTCTTTCAGCTTTGATAAATCAAGACCGTGTCATTTTTGAAAGAAGAATGAACAAATTATTCTTCATACACATAAAAGGTTGAAACAGTAAATCACCTTGTGCAGGTCTAGACATGTGTTTTCTGTTCTGCTCTGATTGGGTCAAATATGGCCAATGACAGGTAGTGAGCATCCTCCAGAAGGATTAGAGAATCTGTTTGTATCATGAATTTGGGACAGAGCTTCATTCATGCAAACTCACCCAAATGACGACCAGCGGCTGAAGAAGAGCTCGATTCGCTGCCTCTAAATCCTTCAGTAAGGACTTCACTTCAGACGGACAGCCACGATTAACCTGGAGACCAGGGGATAAAAAAACACTTGGCTAAGAACCTTTACAGAAAAGATTCAATTATCTCTAAAAATGCAGCTTTTAGGGAAATCTGAACGCGTTCATGTTTTTTTATTTATAAAGGTTATGCTTGAAACGGGAACTCACAGAAACCTGGATGAAGTTACATTCCTTTAACAGATACCTGCCGCTGTCCCCCATCAGATCTGAGACGACGTCCAGCTCCTGCAACACAGAGACACCCGGACGTTTAATATTCAGCTGATGTTCTGCTTGTTAAAGGATCTCGAGTGGTAACATTTAAAGCAGGTGCTGCGGCGCCCGAGCACAGACATGTGACTGATCGACTTCGGTGCTCAAAGGTCAAGAGGCTTCTGGTTTTTGTTTCGGCCACTTCTTCAGTCATTTGGTGTGACAGCACTACCACCTGTTTTTCTGCCATGAATCATTTTACGATCAGAGACAAGGCCTAAAAAAAACTAAATACACTTGAGACTGTGCAAGTTGGTGGTTTATTTCCATCAGCTGTAATCAGAAGCTTATTAGAACAAATGGAAGAGGTAAAAAATATAAAAAATAAACCGTTTCTGGGCTCCTTTATCCTTCTGAGCTGGCAGGGAAACTCTGCCATATGCAAAAGACGGGGACGGTAATCATACACAAGCCAACTTAAATTTCATTACTCTGCAAATTGAGTTGAAGGCAGACGTACGGCCAAGAATCGTAAAAGCTTTTTCGCTCAAAGGACCAGGACATTCAGGTCCTGATCGTCATTCCATTTAGTTTCAGCCCTGGCACACGAGTGACAAGAGCCAACGGGATAGCACAGTGTCCGCCATGTTAGATTAACGTTCCCCTTTGTTGCTGTGCCTCTAATTACAGCTTGGTACTTTAATTTCACACACGCAGCAGACAAACAGAGAAATAAACATTCACAGCCTGAGTTTGGCTTTGACACACAGTTGTTCTACCCATTAACATAAAAGAGAGTAATTGAAAATGTGAAAAAATAGTGATGGAAAACACATGTCGCTGGGTTAATTGGTCCTGAAAGATAAACTGCCCATGGCTTCAGCAGGAAAATCATTTCAGTCCGAAATGTAGATTTGTGGAGTTTAAAAAATTTGACATGATGTAAACCAGCGTGGCCATGAAATCCTAATGTAGGAATGTTTATTTGAATTAAGGCACAGAACAAAGAGCCAAGAGGCTGCGAAGGCTCGACAACCAAACCACTGCCAGGACAGAAGAAAAATAAAGATCAGATCACCAGTGAGCAACCAATTAGAATTTTAAATGGCTTCAGAATGAGACCAATTATTTGTCATTTTATGGACAAAAATGTATAACTTGGGATTTTTAAGCAAAGTGTTAAGAGGTCAGAAAGAGTCAGCTTCTCCAAGTACGAGGCCGCACGTCTCTCTCCAGATTAGGGGCGAGTTAAGACCCTAAGTGAAGTGGTTTGTCATGGTTTGTCATCGGTGAAGGGAAGCGAGACAGCTGGATCGGTGCAGCAATGCAGGAGTTGTACAGGATCGTTGACCCAGAACTCGCCGGAAGGACTACATATCCCATCAGGCCTGGGAACACCTCGGGATCAAACAGTGAGGAGCTGGAAAGCTTAGCTGGGGAGAGAACATCTGGAATACCCTAATTAGCCATGACCTGACCTCAGGTATGCAGAAGACAGACGGAGCGAACGCATTATTTCTCACCGTCAGACAAACAAAACAAATCTTGTTCCCCATTTGAAGTCTGACCCCTTTCTTTCCGTCCAAATGACAGATGCTCTTCTTCATTGAGGTTAATCATTGCAAACCTTCTCTTTGTTGATACACGAGTCTGAGACTTTGTTTTGATGTGGAAAGAATGTAAGAACATTATCATACATTAAGATAAAGAGGGATTAGTGATAAGAATACAGAAGAGGTGAATCAGCCTCTTTAAATGAAATGAAATACTTCTTCCTCTTCTATCATGTCACCATTAAACATCCACTTGTCTGTGTTCAGCCTTTGATCCAATTTCACTGCTGCCAAATATCTGAATAATGGATGCATCCTAATTATGTGAGATAACCACACCCACACAAACTGGTTCAACTTGTATAGAGGAGTTTATCAGTTTTACAAAAGCTCTCCCTTTTATCAGACTCTCTTTCAAAATCAAGCTGCAGATCATGTTGTGTTTCTGTGTTCCACCGTCATCCAAACAGTCCATCCTCCTTTAAACTCGCTCCAAGATCTCCTTCTTCAGAGCTGGACCGGGCCCCACAGACAGATCAGGGTCGGTGTCGGCCTCTTTTCAATTGGCCGACTGGAGCCGTTCCCATGTGTGCTCAGGTGGCTGTGTGGTGTGTTTATCCGGTGCGTGTTTTCAGAACCAGATACATCTTTTATAGGGAGTTTGAGAGGGGAAGGAGGACGGAGGGGGAGATGAAAGACGAGGGGAAGAAGCAGAAGATGAAGAATTACCTTTGTCCTGTGTGTGTGTGTGTGTGTGTGTGAGGATTTGTATCCGTGTGTGTGTGAGAGAGGAAGACGTTCACAGTAATAACGTGATGAAGGGATTCTTTCAGCAGGATGTTATATGAGATATACATTTGATCCAGATTAAATCCAGATTTACACTGAAAAATAAAGTTTTAAGTTGTAAATTCCAATAAAAAAAAGAACACGTCAGGAGGAGAAGGAAGTTTTCTTTTCTTTGAGAGCACTGGAGTCTTTTACTTTGGCCAAGGAGCTTATGGCTTCGCTCCTGTCCGTTTTTTTCTCAGCAGGATTACACAAAAACTACTGAATGGATTTCCAAGAAACTTGGTGTAAGGAAGGGACATGAGCCAAGAAAGAAACTTGTGCCTCCGATGCTTTGATTAACAACAAGTTGAACATCAAAGTTGACTTGAGGTGCTGGTTACGAGGTTTGCTCGAGGGAAACCCAACAGTTATTGAGGTAAAAGAGAACATGTCCCATGTGGAACCTCTGTGTGGTCTGTGCCGTCAGATTTAATATCTCAGACTGTCGCTCGTCACTGTTTTGCATATGGATACATTTTTCCATCGTCTATTAGGAACAATTTTACAAATTAAACGGGGGGATGTTTGTAACACGGACCGAGGACAACATGGGAATTTGATGTGCCCAAAAATGATTCAGAGTTGAAGGGAGGGATAGGAACTGCAGTGGAAACTGGGAGCTCGTCAAGTGTGACTGGAGCGAGGTGGTAGGAAGATGAGGAGGAGAAGGGAAGAGCTCATCACTAAACACTCCATTCATCAAGCAAACTCCCACCATACAGGAAATAGAACTGCCATCTGCTCTCCTGGATGCAGCGGAGAGAGAGGTGGAGGTCGGGGAACGGAGAGTGAAAATGAGGAGGAGGGAAAGTTGCAGTGTGGACGTCCCAGACAGACTCCATTAAAGCAGCCTGACCACAGATGGCGAGCCTGACCACCCAAGTGGAGCTGACACCGAGCCGGAGGGTGGACTGGAGGTGCAGGTCAGGGGACAGCGATGCAAAGATTGAGGGAAATAAAATGGTACGATGGCGGGAGTCAAGCTACATATTGATCAGTCTTACCATGTCCAGGGCTGCAGCAGCTTTCTGTAGAGCGTCGGCCAACGTCACAGCCGCCGCTGATCCACCTGTGATCACACAGGCCGATCGAGACAGAGACTCTGGAAGAGGAAGACGTGGGATTGGTCAGAGACATTTATAAACACTACAATCTATTTTTATTTACACATTTATGTGAGCAGCAAAGATCCTGGACTTGAATTAGGGCGATGGCTCATCACAGCCATTGCAACAAAAATCGGAGGACCTCCCTTATGGCCGTCTCTTTCTCAAACATTTCTAAATTCAAATCGACATGAACACACTTCTGCATGAGGAGGCACACAGCCCCGAGTGAGCCCAGGCACTAACACAGAGGTGGCTACGCAAGTATGTGTGCACACGACCACTATGAAACACAAACGCACACAACCTGAACACACTCGACAGTTTCTCAAACTGACAGATGTGAGAACTTTCATCCACGTCTCCTGTAAAAAAACACACAATGAATTCATTCACTTCAGAGGCCCTGGGAATAATCACCAAGCACCTTATGTCATCATCAAACAGGTAATTGTTGGCCCAGGTGCTGGTGGGGGTGAAATATAGGGCCGTGTTTATTTCCATTTCTCTGATTGTGATAGTCCCCCTTGTCCTGACTTGCTCTGGAGAGTATTCATACACTGCTGCCACCCTCCCTGTTCTCAACAAAGAATTTCTGCCCCTGAATACAGCGAGGAGCAACTCTGGTTCAATGTATTCAGCTCTGCCTCTACACGGCCACACAAAAAGAGACAAAACACTCGACTCATGTCGGAACGTTCGACTCGTCTGAGAGGAGCTGCCCCTCAGTCTTTCATGTACAGTATGTCTACGTATGCACATGCATGACTTTTAGTGTGGTTTCTCTGTGGCAGACTAATGTAAGGTTTTACATCCTGTGCTTGTCTTGTCATGTTTCAGTTTGGGTCATTTCACACCTTGTCTGCTTTGGACCTTAAGACTTCTCAGTTTGGTCTGAACCTAAATATCAGGTGTGAAAGGTTCCTCAGACCAACGCACCAAAATAAAGCCCGACCAAAAGCGGTGGTCTGGGTCTGGATCAAACCGAACCATGGTTTGGTTTGTTTGCAGAGTGAAAACCCTTTTTTTGGATAGTTCTGACTTTTGGATCAATCACAGGAAGTTGAGGCATCGTCAACATAATGATTTAATAACAGGACAATAATTGTGTTGGTAGTAAAACTATAATGATAAAAAAAAAGTACCTGCCAATGTAATACTGTATATAAGAGCGTGTCTCCTGATCTTTTCTTGTCATTATTGTTCTGCATGCTTAGAAATTATAAAGAACTTTGTCATTTGATACCTTTTCCTATTTTAGGATGACTTTGGTAACATCTGTCAACTCTGGCACATTTACAGTGATAAGTATTAATTACTTTGTGGCTCTCAGTCTTACATACATTCATTAATAATAACATAATGTACACAGTACACAGTCCAGTATACACAGTACCAACTGGAAATAATGCAAAGGGACATTTATAAAGAAGGTAACTCACCTTTGATGATGGACTCTGCTGCAGCCAAATCCCGTTTGTAGGTCACCTGAGGGACAGAATGAACTGGGTTATGCTTGAGGTCAGTGAAACTCAACCACAAGAAAAAACATTATAAAACAAATCCACTAAATAAAAAAAATATTGATTGATTTGTGCTGCTCAAAGTACTGAAATAATACAATTTGGAGTTCCAGAAATATTGTCCTACTTTTACTCCGGCTCAATTGTTCCCCGGTGTCACAAGATGTTTGATAAAAGAAACAGAGCTAATAACAAAACAAATTGAATTCTGCAACACACAAAAGTAATTTTTCTTCTTCAAACTTTCTATAACCTTTATTTTTATCGATCTGTGCTGTAAAGTGTTATTCAAATGAAACAATCTAATAAGACTTTTCCACGAACAGAATCTTTCCAGGGAACCAGGAATCTTTTCAGAAACTTTACTTCGACTGGGACTTTCCCCGAGTCCGAGAAACAATTTCAGCAAAGTTTGCTCTGCTAATAAAAACACCACATGACATGTTATAGTCTCTTTTGATGGAGCTGCTCGGGCTCACGGACCCGTGTCAAAGGGTCGCAGCTTTGTATTTGTCACAAGCATGAATCTAGGGAGCTGTGGATAATCCAGAGAAACCAGGGACACTAAGTCTGGAAAACAAGTTGCTCTTTAAATCGTATTCAAATGTCATTCTTCAACTCTTTGACCAATACAAACACACTTCTGACCATGTTCATTGTACCCGGGTGGAGACAGGAATCTTAAAACCTCAACACATAAAACCTAAACTGTTTTCATGGACAGTAATGCTCAGTGTAATTAGTGTCTCTTCTCATTAGCGTTTAATCGTTTGAGCCCTCAGTCACTTTACAGAAGGTTCACAACTAATTCTTTACATTTAAACTAATTTCTGCGAGTTAATCCCGGATGTCACATTCACAAGATTAGGATTTCCTCTTCTGCCATGCGCCCTTCAGCTTTAATTCACAAGCTTTCTTTGTAGCCTTATGATAAATAAGCAGCAGGCGTACAGCTGCGCTCGCCAGGGTGTTACCAGATCCAGAATCCCCGACCCAAACCAGGCTCCTGGCGTGCTCACCTTCCACAGCGTTGGCGGCCCCTCGATGAGCTTGGCGTTGGTGCCACAGTACTGCAGAGCCAGATGGAGACACTCGGTGCCAAACTCAAAGTCTGACTCAGTGCACTGCAGAGGGGACACAGAGGAGAGGCAACTGTCGGACAATGAATTTCCATCATAACTCAGAGCGACTGTGGTACATTGTGTTGCTCCACTGACTTGAGTCCCCTTCTAACGTGGGGTTAAAAGTTCACATTCAAACTGTTGTGACTTCCGCAAACTCAAAATACACAGTCTGGGAAAACATCAGGCCGCCTGAAGCAGTTTGCCCCCGGCTCCAGCAGAGGGCGCTCACTTTTAACTTGACCCATTGCATGCCCACTTGACCTATCAGTAAAGTAAGTCAATCAAAGCGAGCAGGCGAAGCCGTCCCAAGCGGACAATCACGACACCAAAGAAGTGGCGAGGAGCAGCGAGTGGAGTTATTATGGGTTCTAAAACTGAAGATGGAAAAGTACCGAACAAAGCTGAGGCTGCAGCGCAACTGTCTCACAAAGCCTCGTCTGACTGTGTGCGGGACAAACTGCAAGTGGGACAAATCAAACAAGTGGCGCGACGAACTTCAAACCTGGTTTTTGGAAAAGGGGACAACTCTACAAAAATACATGATGAAACTCCAAAAACTCTTGTAAAAAAACTCTTGCAACTTTTATTTCATTCCCATCGGGCCACATACATTCAATAAAATAAAACTCCTGTCTTTTACAGTGATTTAACAAGACTGAGTCTTAATCCTGCAGAGCCTGCAATGACCAGTACATCAAACAAAAGAAAACACTCTGAAGATCGGAGCTTTTCTTTGAGCCAATACTGGCACCGTTTAAAATGTACGTCCTCAAACATCACATCGTAAGCTGCTGAACAGATTAAGGGAGATTTGGGTGTTCGATCCGTAGGTGCAATGCCAATGCGGCCTCTAGAGTTGGTCCCTGAACCAGTGGAAAAGTGAGGTTACTGATTCTTGCCAAATGGTAATTTTGGAAAGAGAACGACACAGAAATCTTTACAAGGCCCAAGATGTCATGAGGTTCATTTAGTCAGCGGTTCTTCTAACCTCTAATGAAATGAATGGGCGGACCAACCAACCAGCTTTAACACTTGTCTCTGCAGAAGAGTTCAGAGTCAGTGAAATTAAAACATGACCTGCTGTGAACTCACTGATCCGACACTTTTCCGATCTAACAGTTTATTGTTTTTACTTGAACTTTCTGCAGATATTTCTCCACATATCTCAGTTTCTGGACGGGCTGCATCGTGATCACAGATAGCTGTTCCACAGAAAAGAAACAGGCTCATAACATGAAGCTGCCATCACCACATTTTTCAGCAGATACTTCAGAAGACAATGTTTTCTTTGGCTGATGGACTGTTGGCCCTGTAACACTCTTATCTTCCCACAGCTAAGATTTAAAATGTGAGAGTTTGGTTTCTACAGGTCACAAGTTACTGGGAGAATGAGAAAGTAAGAAGTGTGAAACTATGGACTAAACATTGCTGTTTTTTTGTAATATGATATTATTATTATTGTTGATTTATATATTTATATTTCTGTCAAATAAATGCAATAAAAATGTAATATTTAACGTACATTTTTATGTGGTGACTAATAAAATGATCTCATATTTACATGAAACACTTTTTCCGTGGTTTTACAAGAAATAGTTCGACATATGCGGCCGGAGGAAAATGCTGCAAGTTCAAATATGATGTGTTTTTTGTTTTTTTAAAGAACATGAATGACATTGGCTGCAGATGCTTGCGAAAGGGAAAAACTTGTCTTTCATAATCAGCTGAATGTCACATTTTAATGGAAGAAAATAAATATGAAGGTATGACAAATGTTTCTGGGGCAGGAACAAATCTGTGTTGGTGGAAATCCCAAATAAACAGGCAGAGGAACGAGTGAACCAAAGGTCTCCGCGGACTGACGATGTGTGGCTGCTCAACGTTTCACTGTGGTCCTCAGCTTGTTACTGAAACTGCCTGTGGCTGTTTGGTGCCGAGGTTTGTCCAGTTGTGGGCTGAAATGAAACACGGTAAAGCTGAGAGGGATCACAGACTGTAAATAAAGATGGACGACATGACAGCTCCTCAAAAGTGAAGCCAAAACCTCTGGGTCTCCCCCTGCTGGCTGGCTGCGGTATAGGTCATAAACCCTGACGACTCAATGATAACAGGAGGAAGTGGAGACGCCGCGTCCATCTTTATTTACAGTGAGAGGAACCAGAGTGAGGCAATGATTCTCTCAGCTTTCAGGCATGAATTCTGGGAAATGTCTGGAAGTTTTCTTACATTTTTCAGATTTGTCTTTCACAACGCAGCAGGAGATCGTCTGCGTGTTCTACGTTTTCCTACATTTTCCTGAATTACTACTTGGGGGATGGAAGATCTGCAGGTCTGAAAGCAGCATCTCACTTCACAGCCATTTAATCCATTGTTAAAATATTGACTGGAAAACCTTTAAACCAAAAAGGAGCTTCTCTAGTATCGGTGGAAGCACCAGCGTTAACAGCCTGTCCTCGCTGTGTGTGCATTTACGTCATCTCTGCTAACTGTGATTTATTTTCCTGAACTAATCTTAATCCAGATGAATATCTTTGCAGTTTATTGTACCGATGGACTTCTTGCTCGTGCTTTCACTCGTTGCTGGGAACGCTCTGTTTGTGAAGATCTCATGGAAGTTTGGATGGAGGCAATGAGCTCATTTGGTTTAAAAAACAGTCTGGACTACAAAGACGAGTTCATGCTACCTGAGATTATACCTGGGTAATATTTTATCAAGCTATAAAAGAGAGGGGTCTTTTATTCCAGCGACCCTGGAACTGAAGAGAGAGATTACAGGAGAAATATGCTCTTGGTCCTGAGGTAATTTAACCTTTAGCATTTTCTCCTGGTACAAAAGCCGTCAGTGGGGACTGGATAAAGTGTCTCCCCCATTGTCTTTTCAGCCCCAAGTTCTTCTACACTCAATGGATGTCAAGCTACAAATGTGCAGCTCTCAGAGATTTTTCATGCACATGTCCTACAGTCCTAACCTGACACTTTCCCGTCTTTTGAAGGGTTGAAGAGGGGAACAACACGGGGAGAGGGGGGACACGCTCTGCATCGACCCCAGCCTCCTCCTCCTCCTGTGACCTCCCCGGTTTGTCTTCATTTCTGCAACCCGACTGGCCTCGAACGTCGCGGTGCAAATGTGAGGTCATTTTCTGAACAGACCAAAGCCAACAAGGCTCTCAGAGCGATCTTAAGATCCGCATGTGCCAGGAGCGAAAATAACTGCAGACGAATGGGGCTCCAATCACCTCTCAGCTCAAAGTTTGCTGCGTTCTCCAAAAACATGGCTATCGCAAGAACCATCTAATGGAGGTGAGGTTGAAAAAGCAAACTCAAAGTGTCTGAAAAATAAATGAGGTCAACCTCTGCAACTCCAGTTTCATGCTTGGTTGGACCGCCGAGTCTTAGCAGTAAGCCCCTGCTCTGAGAGAAGGATCGACGCATTTACAGTTTACATCAGCGGATACATTCCTTCCATTTTTTAAAACACACTCAACTGCCGACATTATTAATCCCAATCCGCCCAAATGTGCCGTGTAATTTCAGAGCTCTCGCAGCGTTTTTTCCAGCTTCGCAGCGTTCGTTCCACACACACACACACACACTCATCTGTTGCAGTGTGGCAAAAAAAAAAATATGAACATGTCATATCGTTCCCACATGCAGAAGAGACCGGGTGAAAACGATAGCACCCAGGCCACAAGCTCTGAAACCCTGCAGGTTCTGGCGTATCAGCTGAACAATGAGGGACTGTGAAGTCCTGCTGTGATGTATGAGAAGCATGACGGCCTTTGTCATCTAAGTGCTGTAATTTTTACAACATAAATCTCGCCCTGACTGTCATTTCATGAGACTTGTTTTGTAAATATTTCACACCAGGAGAGAACAGCGAGTTTGCACGACTTGATTTTTTTTCCATCTTTTGATTTTATGTCTTTTGGTTGCATGGGCTCTGGATAATTCTTGCATTGCTGATTTGGCATCAAGTGTCATAAAAACAAACCATGTTTCGACTTCTTCGGTTATAAAATCATCAGATAACTGGTGACGGCTTTGTAGTGCAACAGTCTCAATGGGTTCCCACGTTTTATACGGTGAGAATCAGTGCATAGAGGTGTTATATATATTGTATCAGCCACCACTGAACCTACCCTCTGATAAGCTTGATGGATGACGTTGTACGTGAATCCCTGAGGCATCTCGCTGGCTCTGTACTTGCCTCGCTCCAGAGAATGATCCAGGTAACCCTCTGATGTGGTGGCTATCACCGTGGAAACAAGAGGTCGGATAGCTCCTGCGGCCTAAGAGAAGGAAAGAGGATTCAGATTTTCAGCAAAGATAATGTTAATAATACGATCTCCTTATAGTCTAAACACTTTTTAGAATTTACATTGTAGATAATCAAGACAAATAATCATGAATTACAAATCCTGACTTATGAATGAAGACAAGCAAATACTCCACAAAGCCTTAAAAAAGTTTGTGAGTTGACTTTAAATTTGATGGTACTCTCTGGCAGCCAGCTGGAGCACGCCCCTCTCACACTTCCTGCCTCGGAAATTTAAAATAATCAACATTTCTGAGATAATATTTTCATCCGACTATAACATGATTAAAAGACTGTTTCCAGGAGCAGGAAGTCAGCGAGCGTGTGCGGAGGAAAGTCCTCGCAAATGAAAGGAAAGCAAACATGTGTTCTGCGTGTTACACATGCTGTAAAAATCTGAATTAATCTGCTGCTCTTCGGTGCGGACAGACTTTCTGTCACGAGCCGGCCAAATAATGAAGACCAGACCGCCTGCTGTGAAAGTTCATCACACACACACACACGAACACACGCCGTGCATGTTGGTCCGTGAGCTCTTTGCCTTTTTCACAACCTGTGTGACCTGCGTTCACCAGCGTCTCCTCTCAGCTGCTGCAGCTCACACATGAATCATTATCAAACTTCTCCTCGTCAGAGCGGCCGTGGCTTTGGCCCAAGTGTTTTCCATTTATCACAGATYAAACAAACACGACCACCGGGAGCAATGGACGTGTCAATCTGATAAACAGTTTACGAGGAGATGGAAAGGCCGATCACGAGGATTATTTGTCTTCTTTGGTCTGAATTCCCAAGTGGAAATCTTGACTTTGACATATTTTGGTGTTTGGTTTGTTTATGTTCACACGGTGCGGTGAAAAATCCACAGATCACACTAACAAAAAGTCACATGTCTCCTTGAAATGTGAAAGCTTTGATTCCGGCTCCTATGACTGCTGTTGAGATGATGGATATGTTTATACTCTGTGCTGTAATTGACCTTCTCTGGTTTTTAGCTAAAAGCTCAAGAAGAAATGAGGTATGAGCTACGGCTGAGATTTAATTAAATGTTCTGGGCTCTCCAAGCATGAAGCAATACTGGCATATTGGGGTTGTTTCCTCTATTTGTAGGCGCATTCTAATCTTTCTGACCTGCTCCAGGAAATAGACACATCCTGCCTTCATAAGCCCCTGGAAAGTTGACAATAAACGAAGGTTACACATCTTCACTTCATTTTCACTAATGGGAGCTTTGAAGATAACGTTGATTATTTTAATTTCCCAAACATTTTATTCAGTTTTCTTGTTTTTCCTACAAACACTTGGTTGTTTGCAGTGAAAAAAGGAGCATTTCAAATCATTTCTGGCAGAATGTGTTTTCTCTCGGCTTTATTTTGTGTTAAAAAATATATATATATTTCTGTCATCTTCCAATCTGAGCATCTACTTTTAGTTTCTTGTTTCTATTTTTACTTTTAATGGACAAATATTTTTTTTCTCAAAGGTCCAAAAATAGTGACACATATATATTTCCCCAGCATCATTATCTCATTAAATCAAATTGAAATTTAATTTAATTGAAATTTAAAATTATCTTTTACAATACAGACCCCTTGTTCCTCAGCAGCCACAGCTATCTTGTACAGAAAGTCCTCCTCAACAAAAGGCCGCACAGCATCATGGATGATGACCACCTTCGGTGCCCTCTCCTCCTCCTGCTCACCCAGAGCCAGGACGCCATTACAGATGGACCTGTGCCGAGTCGAGCCGCCCGCCACCACTCGCACCTTTGTGTGCTGGAAGCGCTGAACCATATCCGTCATCAGCTCCATGTTTTCTTTGGCAACAACGACCACGATGCTCTGGATCCATGACACCCTGCAAGAAATCACAACAGGAGAGGTCGATATATAAATCATCCAGATATTAATACGTCAATATGAAACTAAAAGTTTTCTTTAGTGCAGTTACTGAGTAAATGTACTTAGTTACAGTGTGTGTGTGTGTGTGTGTGTATGTAATTGTCTTTCGATAGTTATGAGGCCCAGTTTTGGTTCAGTACCATCATTGTGAGCACATTGTGGCCGGTCCTCACAAATTCAAGAGTTGTTTGAAGGTTGAGACTCAGTTTTAGGGTTAGAATTATTTTAGGGGTGTGTGTGTGTGTGTGTGTGTGTGTGTGTGTGCAGCCTGCATTTACACACTCCCGCCGTTAGAGGCGCTGTCCCCGCTGTCACTCTCCACGTGACTCTTGATAATAAACAATAACAAACCTGGATAAAAAATTCATTTTACGTTAAAATCTTAATTAACCTGTTTCCTCGGCTCCTACCTCTCGAACGCCTGGACGGTGACGCTGATGAGCGGTCTACCTAGGATCGAGCAGAACTGCTTCGGTGTCGAGAGACCGGTTCTCTCCCCGGTGCCGCCGGCAGGAAGAACCACAGACACCGGGAAGTCGACGCGGAGCTCTGCGGGCTGCCCCTCGCTCCGCCCGGACTCGCCGGCTGGGAAAGTCCGAGGATGAGCGGGCCCGTCCGGATCACAGCGGTCGTCCTCCATGCTGATGCGGTTTGTGTGCGTGTGGTTCCCGGGAGGGAGGAGAGGGTCAGGACGGGTCCATCACTGGTTCCGATCTGTGGGTCACCAGGTAAACACCGCAACGTGGAGGAACTGCGCTGTCAAGGTGCGGGATTCAAACGCACATTTTCCGGTGAACACTTTCAAAATAAACTTCTTTTGTTTATTGTTTCCTGCTTGAATAGGAAAGTTAATTATAAGTGGACACGTGTTAGTGAATGATCTGTCGTTTATAATATCAGTTATAAAAAATATCCCACCATCTATCGGAGCTAATAAACTTGTTCATTTGACTTCATTACATGTTAATTCATTTATTAAATAAGAAATGAAAAATAAACATTTACTACATTACTTCATTTAAGCATCTGAAGCATCACTTTTTTTAATTTTTTTTTTAGCAAAGATATGATGTTTTGATGTGTTGTCTCTTAAGTGAGAATAAACGTCTCGAAATTGGAATTAAACTGACTGAAAAAGAAAAGTTGCAGAGAGCAGAGCATGAGTTGAAAAACCAGAGAAGTTGACGACGGCTGATCTTGAGTTGTGTTTGCAGTAAAAGAAAAGTTAAAGAAGCTGAATATCAGTTGAATATGTTAAAATTCTCTTCATCAGGAATAAGTGTAGTTTACATAATAAATTATAATTAAATTCCCCACTCTATTTGTCTTGGATATTCAACTTCCGTTTTAAGGAACTAAGGTCAAGTCACAAATCTCACGAGATGTCAACACTACATTACACTTTTGAAATATTACTTGTTTGTAAGATTCATTTTAAATTTGACTTTATGTTGGTGTGGAAATCATGATACAGAAATCATGAAATTATTGTGTCGTTTACGAGGATTTTTTTTACCAGAAAAGATAATTTTCTCTGATCCTCCTCCTAACGGACAACATTTATACATTTGTCCTCAGTAAAAAGTGATATTATATATATTATATATAATATGTATAATATTCACCTTATTTATCTCAACCCACCTGCAGATCAAACTCCATCATTCCTGTTAAACTCTCCACTGACAACAATACGTGATAAAAAGTTATATTTATTTCAAAGTTATTACAAGAATGAACGATGAAGAAGCTTTTCCCAACTTCACCCACATACTGACGTCACGTATGTATCATGGTATATGGTGCCACAGAAAAATATATTACATCATACATCATAAATCTTACATAGTACAATTTTATACACATGGCCATACTTCAAAAGGCAAGTAAGAATTTGATATATGTACAAGTATTTACACAAGATTGTTTTTGAGATGTTTGGTGTTATTTACTGGTGTTGGCATGAAGTGAATATAGGAACGCATGCACACGGCTACGTCACGGGACAATGTGGCGTGGCTCAGGGGTTCGGGGAAGCTCTGCAGACTGTGCACCCCCAGGTCTGTTCACATTGTCTTTAACCATGTGGATTCAAATGTCAAGACAAGTCCTTAGCACGCCCTTCGGAGCTTGGAGTGAGGAACCAGCTTCACAGAAAGTCCCAGTCAAATATAATCCACAATGGCGAGCTCTGGATGTCGTGTCTCTCTATCACAGAGACTAACCTCCTGTAGGCGTGTGTGGATTCAGAGTTTGTGTGTGTGTGCCGACTCTCAGGGTTCAGTCTCGTGCCAGTTCTCACTCAGCCGGTTCTTTCCCAGCCTCCTCTTGCTCTTGGATTTGTGTTTGTGCAGGAGCTGCGGTGGCGACACCGCCAGCTCCTCGAACTTGTGGCCCGACTCGTTGTGCTGCCGCGTGTACCTCTTGCACTTGCAGGAGGTGACCACGGTGATCTTGTACGTTCTCGTGCTGCCGTCCTGGCACTGCAGCTGGATGCGCTGAGTGCGGGTCTTGTCGTTCACGCACCGCCAGTCCTGGTTGCTGCTGCTCCGGCGACCCCAGAACTTCCTGCCGTAGGCGCCGCCGATCCAGTTTTGAAGCATCTGAGCCGGGAGGCACTCACCGGCGCACACCAGCTCCTTGATGGGGTTGATGCTGGTGCAGTGGCCGTCAGAGATGTACTTGGTGGATCTCAGCTCTCTGCATCCAATTTGGCTTCGATCTGTGGAAACACAATGAATGAGAATTGTGAGAAACAAATATGGCGGAAGGGAAACAGGAAATAAAATCATGTTAGACAGGAACACAACTGCCAATTATATTCATTATTGATAAATGTGGAAATAAAGATGGACGTCACGTCTCCACTTCCTCCCACAACCCAGAAGTGCTGATGACGTCATTAGTAGCCAGAGTTTGTGTGGTAGCCGTTTGGAGATGGAGGCAGGTTTATGACGGATACTGCAGCCAGCCACCAGGGGGTGATTGAGACGCTTTGGCTTCACTTTTGGGGAACAGTCATGTCGACATTTAGTTTCCAGAGAGATTTGCATACAGCGATATCTCAGTATAATTATACTGAAACATAATCGGCCTCAACGATAATCGTGAGCTACTGTCCTGCTCTTTACTCTGAGCATTATACTCCATTAGGTTATGAGCTTCTCTGCAGCCTCAGGAACTTAACGAGCACAGCAGCATCTTGACCTTTCTACTTCATAAAAGGTATTAAACTTGTTATTTTTCAGTGTATCAGCGAGGATTATTTCTGTGCTTCAGGCAACCACACTGTCCCCCTGCTGCCTCCTCTATCACTGTAACCCAAGCTCAGCTCCATTCATACAGCTGCATACACCTCAGTGACAATGGCCCCCTCTCTGTGACAGCGTTTGAAGAATGAATAGGGGTGAGGCTCCGTCTTTCTCTCCCCCTCTCTCTATGTTTTACTCCCCCACTCTCTCCCTTCCTTGGCTGCTGGGGTCACATGGTTTCCTGTGCATGGATGACACCACCATTCAGCTGCCCAGGCTGTCGGAGCCTCGCATCCCTGCACCTGGATGACAGCTCGCCAGGTGAAACAGTCTCTGTTGCTGTAATTACCACCGTCAAGGAGGCTACATCTGTCTTTGTCTTTGAAGATGGGATTACTTTCTACATTCAAGGGTTGCTGGTGGTATCTAGACTTTTTATCAAACTCTGTGATATTTATCAAGTTTTTGATGAGTGTATAAATCGATCTTCAGTGCTTAAAGGGATGATGGGATTAAGTTCCTGAGACAAAGAGAAGAGATGTGATGCATGCACCTCATTAATGGATGAGAACTAATTATACCAAGCAAAGAAGAATACATTTTTTAATGGTCACATGGAACAGTTTAAGATATTTTATTTTGTGCTGCTTCTTTTCCCTCATCTGTTATTCATGCGCCTTAATTTGGCCTCGTGAGCAGCAAAAAGTATTTTTGACTGCATGAAAGTAACCAGATCTCAGAAAAGACCACATTCACAAAGCATCACAACAGGAGGATTCCTCAGGATTAAAAACAACCCCAGAAACTCAAAAGAGCCAATGAGAAAGACAAAGGTTGTGCAGTAGAAACAGATTATTCCTTAAAATAAAGTACCAAAAAGCACAAAACATGGGATAACACATAATTCATCTACCTCAGATCTGTGTTTTAAAGCTGTTTCTCATTCTCTGCTCATGACGAAGAGTTTAAAACCACAACTTTCACTCAGGAGCAAAAGTCTAGTTATAAAGGGACGTTAATCGTTTTTATTATCCACTGATATCATCATTTTAATCTTGATTTAATTTATATTGTACCATTGATAATAATAATAACCCTTTAATTCTGTTGCACTAATCTAAACAAACAAAATATTTGTCCTGATCTGTCATGATGTTTATTGCGATAATCATCGATATCAACGGTTTCCTTTATTTAACTCTTCATATATGTTCTGCTATATTGCTCTAAAACTTAAAATTCTATGATGTTATGAAATTCTCCATCACGGCATCTGTCTTTAAACTTTACAGACACAGTAATACGACATTTATCGCGATAATTAACGATATCAATGATGTAATAACTTGGTCCAGCCCAGTATTAACTCATTATTGAACTATCATTATATTAGAACTGTCAGAGCATCCTCCTCCTCCTCCTCCTCTCCTTCTCCTCCACTCACCGTCTCTGTCCTGCGCCTCTCCACCAGCTCCTCTGCCGCCGGTGCGCGCTCGGTTCAGGGACACGTTGCTCTGGACCTCGGGCTCCGGTGCGCCCTCCTGGGTGAGGAGCAGCTCCGTGGCGTGGTTCCTGGAGGCCTGGCAGCTCCTCAGCAGGATGCACAGTAACACCAGCGACTCGTGCGCGCTCACCTGCATGTCTGCCTCTGGGTGGTGGAGGACGAGCAGCGGCTGGAAGTGAAGATGTTTGCCGGCCTGAGATGCACTGATGTTGGGTGAAGTGCAGCAGAGACTCCGCTGGGCCGCTGGTTTTATACTGTAGCTCCGCCTCCAGCTCTGGCTGCAGCTCAGGTGCGTCTCTGTCCCGAGGATATGATTGGACCATTCATAACACCCGCCCACGTGCTTTTATTTTGGAGAGTTTCTTTAGATCCTGGTTTATGATGATGATGATGATGATGATGATGGTGATGATGATGGTGATGATGATGATGATGATGATGGTGATCGAGATGAGGATGATGATGGTGATCGAGATGATGATCCTGATGATGATGATGGTGATCGTGATGATGAAGATGATGATGATGATG